TTGTAAGGAGGTGGCTCTGGGTCCTTCCCAGGGTCCTGTGTCCTCTCTCCACAAGGGATCAGCTGAAGTTTCATGGAAGCACCTTGTACAATGCATCACCCTGTCCCTAAATGCTGCTGCTTTCCTGTTCACCTGTTGGGGAGGAGGGCTTTGGGGACTTCAGGGCAAAAATCATCCAAATCATTCCAGACACTCATTCTGACAATCTCCTTGCTGCCTTAAAGAGCCCTGGCTAAGCTGTGAGAGTTGTGCAGGTCATTATGACTGTCCCATACAGCTTGGCCTCTGTATCTTCCTAACACTGGTTTTAGATTGATAAAGAATTGTTCTTCAAGACAGATATCCTGAATAAAACTTTTTGGCCAGAGGAAAAAAAAAAAATTATAGTCTTCCCAGCCAGGCTTAGGTGCTTGCTGCCCCAGATTTGCTCTTGCAAACAGTTCTACCTACCACTCTGCCTTTGGGATGACAAATGACAATGAAATTGTAATGGCTACTTTAAACTGTCCCATTTTAATCTGGTAAGCACAGCATATGTAACTATACTCAGGGCTGTACTTGATGGGATACAATCTAGGAATTCAATGTTTAAATACTATAATGTGTTGACATCTTTGTTCTTATCCTTTTTTACTTAAGCAGGAGCTTTAGAAGACCTCAATCCTTGAACAAAAAAAACCTATGTATCTGTGCCTTTTTGTGTTATTGAGATAGAAGGTCTAGAGAAGTTCTTCAGTTTAAAAGAAATCATGGAATTCCTGGCTGCTCTGAGGGGTCTGAACTGGGGTTTGCTCTATTCTGTCCTTTCCAGTGCGTTGCATTAGAAGTAGAGGCAGGACAGCCAGCCTCTGGGGGAGAGGGAAATCTGCTGTCACTCCAGCAAACTCTGAGACACTCTGGGTCCTCCTACAAGCTCTTACTGGGTTCCTGAAGTTGTTTTATACTTCTAAACAGACATATCCAGCTATGTTGCAAGAAGTGAATGGCTCTTCACCCTTAACAGTCTGCCCAGATAAGGGCTGTTAGCGACCAGAGAACCTGTTTTTCAGAGTAATGAAGTAGAGCCACCAGGATTGGTGATAAGAATCCTTTTCCTAGACAGGATTCATCCCAGGAGAGCGTGGTGCACAGTAGTCAACAGCTCTAACACTGCTGCAGCAGAATAACCATTCATCTGGGGTACTTCCTGGCCTGTGAGTACAACTGAGATTTTTTTTTTTTTTTGTAGCCTTTAGGAATGGCTTTTAGATGGAGTCATTAGATGTGGTGCAAGTAATTTAATGGTAAAATTTTAGTAGCATGTGTGCATGCTGTGCTCTGTCTGAGAAAGGGATACGATCTTTATTATTGCATGGGGAGTTGAAATCCTCCTAAATGTGCCTTGCATATGTTTTTAAGAGAATTAAATTGCAGGACTGGGTTGTCCCACAGAGAATATGTCTCTGCTCAGGAAACAAATCGGGTCGTAGCGTTACACGTACCGTAGGTCTTGAGTGTGTTGAGTTTGTGCCTCTCGTGACAAGCCTGCTCAGTTATGGGCAGCTTTCTGCATAAATCTCACTACATGTGCCACCAGAGCCACATGCTTCCGTGGTTGCAGTTGCTGGGTTGTGCTGGTGTAAATTGAAGCAGGATTTGTTCATGAAAAAGAAAATGTGTGTGGTTCTAGTCAAACTCCACCCTGTTTTATACTCCTGTTCAGCTCTGGTATTCCTGCAAAGATGTGACTAACATCAGCTTTGGCTTTGCTGGAAGTTTCAGCAGAGTAAGGCTTGCCATTAGTCCCTGCAGAATTTCTGTCGCTGGTAAAAGCTGTTACACTCACGAAGGGAAAGGCATTCAGTGAGAAGCCTTTTGTGCTTCTGCTGGTTATTTTTGTTTTCTGTGATGTTCAGAGCAGCGCAGTTCACAGAATTAACTGTCCCCCTTTAATGGAATGTGAGTGTGAAGCTGCTGAAAGCAGCTGAAGGACCAGGGTAGCTGGGAAATCTGCAGCCTGCTGGCTGTGCTAACAGTGCTGAGAAACATCTGTGCTGCCAGTCTCTCAATTCCACTGGTTCTGCTTCCTTATTCAGAGCACAGCGAACACTCCAGTGTGGCTTTTTTCTTCCTCAGAGAGAGGCTGCAGTAACATTTTTCCTGGTGATTTGTGCAGATAAGGTAGTGATTCCAAGTGTATTTTGTGATGCAAGAATTGCTTTTGGAAACTTTCAGATAATTAAGTGAAGAACACAAAATTGTCTTGCTGTTTCATCAATCAGTGTAAAATGCTGCCTGTGATTAACATCTCCATTAAAAGTAATCTCTCGAACTGCTAAAAAAAAACTGTTTCAAGTGTGACACATTGGTACATTAAAGACAAAGTACTGAACAGTGCAATGTAGTGCCACAGTCAGTTTGCAGGTTTGATGGTTACAGGGTAGATCAGGCTGATGCTGAACACCAGAACCACTTTTTTTTTTCTGTAAAGAAACAAGTATATAGAAAATGGTACATTTTTTCTGATTTTAACAATTCCTATATTTGTAGATTTAGTGCAGTGGAAACTAAAGCTGTTTGTCAGACTGAAACACAGTGATGAATAATGAAATGCATACATCTGAAAGTAACATGACATTCTATCATAATTTATTAAATATTTCCAATAAACCTTTTACAGATGCATAACATCCATTAGAGGGCAGGAGTTTCAGGGTTTTTATTCCCAGGCTGGGCCCTTAATTTCTTTTTGCTTGGAATAAATCTTTTGAACTTCTCATTGTGTTATTGGCTCCAGGGGTCACTTTCTTCCTTGACACTGGTACTGTAAAGATTGCTCAGTGTCAGTCTGTGGAGCTAATTAGAGAATCAAGGTATTAGAGGAGACAGGAGTCAGGTACAAACAAGTGTTTATGCGTTGTATATTTGAACTACATGCACCTGATAGGGCTCCACAGACTGTAAACGGTGCTGAAGTGTCATCAATCACCTCTTCATGCACTGGCTGCCTACATGGGAGCATTCTTAATGGACAAAATGCTGATAGTTTGGAGAATTTAGCACAGGATGACAAAATAAATTGTGGGGCTAGTTGTTTTGAGAATCATGACAACGTTTTGTCTTATCTGAAGGCCTCATTGAGAGCCTGATGGCACCAACAGCGCAATGTCATGAATGTACTTCCAATTTTGCTCATTGGTTCATAGCAATGTGCTGAATGAGGAGCTGTGCCATCCCTTGCATTCGTTGATCTAATCAAGCAGGAGGTTTGTTTACAAAGAAAACGCAGGTGAGGCTTTGTGGAGCTGACTTGGGTAATTGATTGTCAGAGGGGACATTGCTGGCTGGAGCACCCCCCTGAGCTGTAAATGAGAGGAAACACAAGGTATTTCATACAAAAAAGCTGTGGATAACCATGGCAACAGTGTCATTTGAGCCTGCCAGGTAATGCAAACAGGGTCTGTCCCACTTTGCTTTATCACAGCCCCTGTGGTGTGAGGAGAGCAGGGGACCAGGGCACCTGTGGGGTGTGAAGGAGCTCAGGTCTGGGAAGCAAAGGAAGTGTTCCATGGTATTGCTGTTCCTTCTGCATCCAGGCTGTGAAATGGGCTGAGGGTCAGGGCTGTTTGTCCAGCAGCAGAGAGAGGGGATGTGAGTGCAGCGGAGGGAGGAGATGTGAGTGCATCACTCAGGGATGCTCAGTGCTATCCAGCCTTGAAAAGATGGCTTATCCAGAACCTGTGGGAGCAAATGTTACTGGGGAAAAGAAACCAATTTTAATATCTTGGGCAGAATTAGATGAGTAAAAGGGACTCCATTCCTCATTTGCCTGGTCTTGTTAATAAAATGTATTATCAGGAAACCTGAGGATCTCCTAGCCCGTTCACTGGCAAAAGAGCTCTCATTAAAGGCTGCAATCAATTATAGAAATGCCATGTTGAAAATTAATTTCACTGGGGGTTCACCTTCAAATTTTTTCTTTGTCCTGAAGGAGAATGGATCAGGGAAGAGTTGGGTAATGACTTTATAGAAAAGAAACAATTACAAATTAAATAATTAAGGTACAGCTCTCCTCAGATATAGGACATCTGACCAAGTCAATGGGAAGAAGCTAAACATTTTTATTTGAGTATGGGAAAAAAGAATAGTTTTGGCTACAGGCTCTATTTTCTCCCCTGCCTGTCTTGATGCACACATTTCCTCCTGCATTCAGGAACTGAAGGCTTTGGAAAACTTTCTCCTAATGTCCATAGAGTCCTGGGCTTCTCTATAATTTCAGAACTTGTCTTGTGCAAGGCGCTTCAGCCTTTGCAACATCAAACCAATGACTCCAGCTCGAGTAGAAATGTCCCACTGCATTGGTTCCAAACATTGTAAAAGGCTAACTTCAAAGTGCTTTAAAAGGGCAAATTTCTCAATAGTTGGACCTGGGAAAGGTCTGTAGGGACAGAAGAGAGAAAGGCATTTAAGAAAAGAGTTGTTAAAGCAAGATCTCAATTTCCATGTTTAGAAAAAGCCAAAATTTCAAGAGGGAATTGATCTTGAATTGTTTTGGATTAGATTTAATTTCTGATTAATCTGTTCCTTGATATCTATGCCCAGAAAAAAACATAACCCAATTCTGTTTAAATCTTTTGAGTGATATTAGAAAACAAACATTTCAATTTGATTTGAAGGAGTTAAACAATGTGGTCACACTTGAAGACACTGTATTAAAGTGCTGACAGATGTCCAGGTCCACTTTCCTCCATAATTAAAGCCCTACTTGAATAAAACCTGAAAGGTTGTTGCCAGATCTCTTCTTTCAGCCTTCTTTCATTACATTTGAGGTTTGGGTTTTGTATAAACCTTGGCAGAAACTTGAGAACCACCATGAAATCCAGACTATATTTGACAAATAGAAATGAGCAGAGCTGGGCACTTGTGGCCAAGTGCATTTTGGAGTTTTATGACTCTTTGCAATGGGGACTTCAGTCATCAGTTGTGATGTTCTTTGAAAATTAGTTTTTCTCTCTTTTTGTCCCCCCCCAGAATTAAGATGTTTGCAATCCAAAATTCAAACATTTTTATTTCTGTTGCAATATTGTACCCAAAGCTTTCAACACAAATATTTTACTTCTCATTCGTTTATTTCTTTACTCAAAACTGGGAACTTTTTGCTGTATTTGCTTCAAAGCAGTGGTTTTGAAGTAAAATCTTGGGGTTTTTTTTGTTACGGATGTTCATTCCAACAGCCTGGTCAAGCTGATATGCTTTGTTCATGACCAGATTTCACAAGGCCCCACACAGAAATCGATCTCCTCCTCTGTAACGAGAATCTATCACACTTTTTCTGCTGCATAGCTTTGTAGCAAGATCTTATCAGCCCAAGCTACACTCTTCTGTGCCCGTTATCTTCCATGAAATCCCTGGCTGAGGGTTATTGATCCTTGACTCCTGCTCCAGGGCTCCCATTTGTCTGGAGTGCTCCAGGCAGTGGAAGGGGTGGGTCAGGGGAGCTGTTCCTGAGCAGCTGTGATGCTGTGAGCTGCATTAGCTGCCTCATCCCAGCTTTTTGCACTGAGTGAAAGGTGTTTGAGATGCTTCTTTCTGTGAGTGGGGATTAGGTACCTCACCCATGCTCTGCTCCTTGGGGAATGCAGGTGGCAGAGCATCTTTGGAAGGCAAAGTTATAATCACTGGAAGTCAGGTAGAAAGCTTGAGCAGAAGTGTGTCTCAATGACTCTGTTACTGCTGAATACCCCAAGGGACAAGAGACGCAGCCAAAGCGCTGTGGCAAGGGAGGGAAAGCAGCTGAGAGCAAGCCCAGCCTTTTCCACTGATCTGAAAAATAAAATTTCAGGCATCTTTGATCTGTTTGAGAGTACACAATTCTAAAAATATTGCTGGGATGGACTGGGGGTCCTTGCTGTGATGGGGCACCAAACCACCATGGAATATCTGCAGTCTGTGATTACCTCCGTGCCACCTTTTATTGCGACTGCAGAGCCTCTGCTCTTCTGAGATGAAATTTTCCCTTGGCTGTCTCAAAAGGCTTAAGCACGAAGCAGGCTGGGCTGAACACTTTATCCTGAGGTGAACTGTGCTCTTAGGAAACGCCCTGTAATTGTACCCAACCCACGCTGGGTTTTGTCCCGTTGCAGTGATGTGTGTCTGTGTTTCAGTGTAACTGGGTGAGGGCTGTAAGGTCTGTAAAAATTGGTAATTTGACACT